CACGGAAAGACCAGATCCCACCGGGTGAATAAATTTCTCACCCGATCCCACTACACGACAGTCCCTGGATGACGACGGTGCGTAAACAACGTCTGACAAAGCTGGGGCAGGTAATCCCTAACAAAACCAAGAACCAGCTGAGGCCGCAATTCATAAACAGAGCTATCATAGGCTCAACTACAGGGCAAAAAGGTCAGCAGCAAAGCGCTGTACAACGCACCCGAAAGACAAGACAAGGGAAGCTCAACAGCTCGCCAGTGAGCCCATCTACAGCAATCTCACCTTGGCAAAGGGCCCAGAAATATCCGACCTGCCGGCAAAGCCCAATCTTACGAGACTCAGAGGAACAAGCTCCCATAACAACAGCTCTCGCTCGTATCTCGCAGTACAAAAGCCAATTAGAAACACTCTCGATCAAGTTACGGAAGCAAATAACCCAAGTAAACATACTTCAGTTTGCCTGCAAACACACATTGAGCCGGAAAAGGAACATTCTGATTAGAGCCCCAGAGTGCTACTATCTTGTAACCTCCCAAAGGCTCAAAGAGAAAAAATCTAATTCACAGTGTTTCATTAAATACGGGCTGCAACCCTAGGCTGCAGTGGGGGCAATCACATAGAGTGGGTAAATGGACTCCCCCAGACATCAACTGCGCCATAGAGGTCCCGTGCTCGTAGAATTCCTCTCCTCCAAGGATCGAGATTTTATTCCCTCTAAAGCAGAGGTGATTGCAGCAGCAATGGATAATATATCCATTGGTCCAGACTCCATCTTGTCAAAGACGATCATCCCAGAGAGCACAACAAACCCTCCTCGATTACTGGCCAAAATGGACCGTCTACGTACAGCTAACCGTGCGCCAAACAGCCGACCTGATCGAACTCGCAGCCTGTCCAGGCTAACCCCAACATAACAGTAGCCAATGCAGTATGCAAACTCAGCAAACCCCGAACAAAAAAATGGGAACTCCTCAGAGGACCGCATCGGGAAAGCCATAAACTCGCCCTCGAACAGACGCCAATGACCACAGCGAATGGGAAGTGCATTAGTCAACGTCTGCAGTCTCATCAACAAGAGAGACTAAATGGACGACCTACTCCGCTCCATAGACCTGTGTATCCTCATCGAAAGTTGACTTTAGGAGTGGACTGCAATCAAAGATTGGAGCAATGGATTTCAGCCTTACATAGCGGACAGAGGCGTGTATTTCACGTTGATGTTTTGAAAATCCTTCCCAACCCAAACTGATTACATTTAGCGTAACTCTGTTCTTGCGATACTTGTTTATTGACGTATTCTCACTCACAAACACCCCCATAAAATTGTTTATCTGTTGACTCGATACCCACCACATTTCAACTTGGCGTGGATAGAGAACGTGATTGACCTGTTAGATCTTGCTGGGCATCCTATTCGGTTCTCGATTGCTTGAGTGCCTTTGGCCGCATACTTGAGGTTTGTTTTGTTGTGCATTTTGCAATGATTTTTCTAATTCAGTACCGTAGAACATTACGGATGAATCGTGTTTTATTTCAGGATTCGTATCGATTTCCGCTACGTGTCACTCAAGTGCGAATTGGTTGATTTACAGGCGGAGCCTTCGGCGGTGATGCCTCATGCTCATCAGCAAAGAGATCCGCCGGTCTAGAAACCAATTCATGGAAAACACGCTGCGTATCCAGACAACAGCATGTATACTCCATCTGAACCCGCCAGGTAAAACGGTAGGGATCAACCGCCGCCAAAGCGCAGGAGTCGCAGAAGACCTACAACTTCTTCGATCGCTAAGAAATGCTTCTCGAACAGGATACCGACTGCTAATTCTCGGCAGCTTTAATGCCCCAAACGTAAGACGGCTAGACCTTACTGATAGTTGGAATCCCTTCGACAAGCATTTCCTGCAGACCTCCTACTCCCTGTCACTAACTCAACACATAAACAAACCTAGATCTGGTCTTTTCCAGAAATTCGGTTACCAAAGTGTCCTTGAGAGTACCTGAAGCTAACCGATGTTGACGGCCTGCCGATAAATTTACTTACGAGTCTCAAATTGCGCAGGACCTCCTAGTGTCTCGTTGCCCGAGATAGACAAAAACACTTGCGGGAGTCGTAGATGTTTATTGGCGAATCGTTGTACTAGATAGTAGCGAATACGTGCTGAGGTGACGCTAAACAATGCAGGAGAGATAATTGACAGCGCATTGGAAATGGACTGGTCCAGCATCGTTAACGCACAGGATATATGGTCTCTCTTGCTTAGAAACAGAATCACATCCCACTTGAGGTAGGGAATCCGCGGAGCAACCAGCCGCGGTAGAAACACAGGGTCTGCACAGCCCTGGAAAGTAAAAGGTTAGCTTGCGAAACTTACATCAATCTTAAGAGTTTTGCTTCATATAGAAGACAAGCTCCTGAGAAACCAAGCGATCAATATTTCCAGGAAGACTAGACAGACATACGAACTTGGCATTGCAAGCTGAATCCAAAACGTTACTTCGGGTACGAACAAGCAAGGTCTTCTACAAGGAAACAGATCTGCAATCTACTACTGTTATATTCTGAAAAGGCGGTGTTGGTCGAGGATAGCTGTTTATTGCAGAATACAGATTGAAGGTCATTAATTTTGCATGCATAACACGAAAACCTTATCAGAAACATGCCATTGCAACACATCGCGACACATACAGTAATGGGTAGAGCAGGCAGTGTTTATTCTTCCCAAATATATTACTTGGTCCTTGATGATCTTGTTCTATTTTTAGTCACCGAAAGTTACCCACTACTCACAAGTGAGTAGTATCTCACAACACTGCAAGTGTAAGGTAACCTGCTTAACATGGATGTGCAAGTCGCGAACGCCTTTCTCTCGTACTTGCTTCTTGGCCTAAAACCATTGTCAAAGCGCAGGGTTACAATGGGTTTGTTCTTGTTGCTTTCGAGCAGCCGAAAATTTGCTGGTTACGGCAAGATCAGAGGTAATCTTAGCACAGCGCACACCAGTAGCAAGGCAGGGTGATGCGCCTGTCACCCGAGACAGAGCAGAGTGTCTTTGAACACCCAACTTAAGAAACGGGGTCCATCGCGGATAGAGGTGGGTTGACTGCTCTCTTGCGTAGTCATTGAGAATGTCTTAGAAAATGAGCAATGGCAAAGTTGCTTAGAGCCGGAGTCGGAGGAGAGTAAGAAAAGCGATGGCTCCGTAGATGGCTCCGGGTCTACTACACCACTCAAGAAGACCTCAACGCCCACCGAAATGAACTCGACCTATGGACATCGAACAGGTACATTTATAGGAAAACTTATAGACACCTCAAAACACTCGTTGTTCCCTTGAGTACCGTGTCAGATGGGTCCACAAAAACAGGAAAATTAAGAGTCAGGAGGGTGTAAAAACCTACGGGACGGCAAATTTGTAGTATTATGTACAAATGTACGCATTATCAGGGATAAGTCGGAAGAAACCCCTAATATAGCAAAGCTACTGTAGTAGCCGTCTCAGAATCATGGCTCTTTAGTCACGACAATGTTCCGGCCTTGGTTCATGAAGCCTATGAGGTTCATAAACAGGATCGGGGTCCACAGCTGCAGGCTGGTGGAGTAATCATATTAGTTAGGAAGGATATCCAGCAAGTTAGGTTGAATATTCAAGTCTGCACGAGCAGAATACAGATGTGCTCAGTCACCATCACCTCCGAGGGGCACAAAACCAAAATGGCGTGTGTATACATGAGTTGTAGTGATATGGAAACGGAGGACCAGCAGCATTGGATATCCTTGCACGAATGCCTCATAAACTGGTAATACTGGGGACTTCAACCTACCAAGTATAATGGGATTTCAGCTGTTGTTCAAACGATATACAAGAGTAGGGCTTTATATGTTGGGTCTCAAAGCATCTCAAAGCAATGCACCAGCACGTAACAGAAAACACGCATTTTTGGTCGGGACAGCAACCGTCTCTGCTGGACCTTGTTATCACGCGGTACGATAAGGATGTGCATGACTTGGGCTACTATCCTCCAATAGGAAAAGCCTTTACGTGGTCAATAATTCTATACTAAAAACAAGGCTGCCGAAACACATGGATGCATGGTGCAATGCTTCGGAAAATTAGATGTCGATGGACTGCAAAGATAGGCAGTTGAGCTTGTCTGGCAGAAAGCCGAAGGTAAAGTTGTAGGGGAAGATGTGCGGAAAATGATCAGAAGAACTTGCATTGAAGGATGACTTCACGCCTCTGAAACTGCGGAAGTAATGCGGTAAACCACCTGGATGGAAGATTTCTGTAACGGCGGCCGATGCATTGATGAATTGAAAGAATTTCTCTGTTTCTTCCTTTTTACTGCATAATTCTTACGATTTCTATTCTTTATCGTCTGTAACTTCATGTTTGTTTAAATGTAGCAATTTCACATTTATTGACGTTGGACCGGACATATTGCTTTGTCAGCTCGGTTGAGCCTTCTCTCTGTTTCTGTCGATTCCTGCGTTCTGCTTGGGTGAGCATATGTCCAAGTATGTTTTACATTTTTGTATTATTTGGTTATCACCTTTTATAAATACCGTATATATTATTGTGGTCTATTCGTTGAATTTGTGTTCTCACTTCTCGTTCGTATTGGGTTCATTCGATTGGGATCGTTCGTTGAGACAGTCAAAGATCGTTCGTTCCTGTTCGGGATCGGTCGTTATCTTGTTGATCAAGCTCGTTGGTATCAGATTACGAAATTGGGTTTACTCGTACGCGTATCGGAATTACGAACTCAAGCAGACGTAACAGTATTTGGATTGCTCAAAATTCGAAAGGCTGAATGTCTGAATGTTATCCTCTGTGACTGGGATTGTGACATTGAACTTTTTGTGTTACCTGCGTTTTATTGACGGTTGCAGTTTGCAATCGTGAACATTCGTTCATGCTTTGACATCCTCTTTCCCGTGAGAAATTGTTTTCTCTTTGCGAACTATTCTTTGTTGTGTGCTTGGTCTTTCCTATCATCCCATGGAATCCTCAGGTCAGGAGAATTCCGAGTATGAATCTCAGATGGATGCTGCCGGTGCACCTCCCCCGGATAAGTCCGATAACTGTCATGATTGTGATGACATTGATGTTAATGTTGAACTTAAGTTGGAGTTAGAGAGTGTACAACCCGAGGTTGAGGCAGCTAGCGCTATGCGTGGAGCAGCTGAGTTAGTACGTCATGGAGCGAAGATTGTATACGTAGAAACCACACCATTACCTTGTCATATAGGAGGTAGTTCTCCTGAGCTCCTTGTCACCGATCCCGGTTGTTCTGATAGGGAGAAGTATAATGGTTCTACAGGTCTGAAGTCTCCTGGGGTCAAGAACGTCACAATTGGGGACATGGATAAGCTGGACCTCTTACTGAGTAAGCTCAATCTACCGCGATGTAAAATCGCTCATTTTGACGGATCACCCGTGCAATATATTCCATTCTTTAGGCAATTTGAGGATCGTTTTGCTGCGGAAGTCAGNAAGTCAGTCAGTAAACCACTTTGGTGGAAGGCTTCCATTGGAAAGTCCATACGCCGTCATAAGCTAGCTGGAAACGATACCGGGAGGTGGGATCGCAGCTCTCGTGAATGCCTTACGTAGTACACAGGAACGAGGCTGTTTGCGTTGTTTGAAGTGGAAAGTGAAAGTACCAACTAAATCTAGCAAAAAATGCGCAGGCCAAGCCCAAGAGGTATTATCCTTACGCGCAGTCCAAGAGTGTGCTTAGGAATTAAATAGACGCCATTAACCTGGAGGGCGATAAAAATGTCACAACTGACCAGGAGAAGACCATAGTACTAGAGGGTTGCCTGGAGCAGTGCTCAAGGAGGATAGAGAGGGGGTGATCCCGGCTGGAGGGGGTCAACAGATTCAGGTTATAGAGGACATAGTCTTGAAATCAGAGGAGTTACACAGAGTTCTGTCGGAACCCAATGTAAACAAACCCCTGTCCCAGATGGAATTCATCCAGTCATCCTCAAACCACTAGCAGATGTCCTTGCTAAATCCGTGAGCCTGCTCTTCCGAGTGTC